AGTTTTCATATATATGTATGCTGTGGGTAAACTAGTGAAATCAATAGCTTAAAGATTTAGCAATAAGTGAGTGAAATCACTAGTTAAGTATTTTTTGTGATTGGTTGTGTGCATTACAAAATAAAAATTAAAGGACTTGGCAGAAGTCTTGCTCTTCGATACCCTTTCACTTTCTATTTCCCTCGTCCTTGGAGATTGTCATAATGCAGCTCTGTGCTTTTTCAGCTAGACTTGGCCAGATGTCTACTTCTTGCATATATTTGGAGTTAAGCTTAATTTAATTGTGCCCCAATTCAAGAGTATCCCTATGCTGGCAAGTTGATTAAGCATGGTGGTAATTTTAATTATCTTCTTATCTCTCACTGGAGTGCAGTTAGTGGAGCTGATGAAGTTAACCCCATAGATAATTTTTTTTTTTTTTTTTTTAATGGGGCTGCAGACAAGAAGGATAAAGCTTTCTTTTCAAAAGGAAGGACTGGTCTTCACTTGTCTAAAGCTGTTTCTTCTCTACTCCTCCATCCATCAGCAGATCACTTTCTTCAGAAGGCCATGACATTACCGTTGGTTCACCTTTATCACTGGCTTTTTTTCCTTGTAGTTTTGCACTTGTCTGTGATTCACTGCTGTCTTTTACATATGACAGTGCAAGTTGGCAGCTTATGGATTTATTTTCATTATTTTTTGCCAGATGTTTCCCTCTCAACATGACTGATTCTATTCTGTGGATACAACAGAAATGGCACAAAGCCAGCTATTAAAAGATACCAGCTAGTGCAGTAAAGACTTGAGGAAGCACACTGTCAGATTTGCACGCCACATTCATGGTGAAATCATATGGATACATGGGGCTAACATTTCATTTAATAACCACATTAAGATACCATTCTCAAGCATTATACTTAAGTGCCTTGTAAGTCGTTTAATTTTCTTTCAGAAAATATATCATCAGAAGCCCGTAGGAGTAACAGTGGCATAATTTAAATGTCACTCTGCTTCCCAATAATGACTTTCATATTCAGGCATTCTATTCCACTGACAAAGCTTGCACCTCTGCTAGAGTGTTTCTGCTCATACAGCTCTGTTTTCAGCCAGGCGTGCACAGAAGCTTGAGAGTGCTTTTATATACTTAATCTGGGTTTTAATTAACACACAGGAAAACAATAGCTTTGAGCGAACAGAGAGGAACTCTATAAATGGGAAGGTCATTCACAAAACAAAGGAAAAAGGTCTTTACTGTAAAGAAAACCCAATATGCAGCATCTGAACTTTTCTTGCATTGTTTGAAAATCAAGCCAATTACAGACTTTCTGCACTTCTCAGATCATTAATATATACAAAAGGATCTCTGCTTGCCTTACAGATACGCATGCTCAGCATTTGTCTGCAGAGGTTTTCAGCTTGCCCTGAAACTCCATCCTGGCAAAATGTCTGACACACATCCCAGAGCACTCCAGTTTAAGGTAATAGAAGAAATAGACCCTCATACATATATAAATATATTCTCTCATGCCCTCAGAGACAAAAGGCTGGCTGTAATGATCCAGCAGCACAATCCTGACTTTTTTTTTTTTTTTTTAAATATCTATTAAAGGAACACAAGAAAGCTCAGCTTGTTCACATCCAAGGCACCATGGGAGAGAGCAAAATACTCAGCATAATTTGTAGACTTGAAACTGCTCATTTCACCATAAAACACTGTGTAACAGACATACCAAGAATGACATAGAGCATCCTCTTGAACAGCAAAACGAAGGAACGTATATCAGCTAAGATGGATGAGTAAAAGAGAGTACTTTCTCCAGCAGAAATTTAGGCAGGAAGAATATCATTACTGACAGCACAGTTTCACCTCTGGGATCAAACTTGCTTTCCTGTGTGGCACTGAAACTATCGTATGAATTTCCTGAATTCCTCCATTTTGCATCTCATTTACAGAAAGCCAGCTCCAGTTATACAAAGACACAAACATACTCTAAGAGGTTCGTTCAGGCCTAAGAGATATTTGTTCAAGTTATTGATTCCTCATTACAATTTCTGCCGCCCCTGAGATATCCATAGAGATCTAACATTAGAGTACTGGCCAGTATTCTTGCTTCACTTCTAAGAGCTGATGTGTTTACATCTTAAGGGAATATTGATCTACAACAAATCATCTTTTTCATTTCGAGTGAGCTGAAACTCCAGTAGAGAGAGACAGGACAGAAAAAAAACTTCGCTAGTGCTTATGACATCGTCAGAATGTAATAATATATAGCTTTAAGGACTTACAAAGTAAACCCAAAATTTGTTTGCACATATAATAATAGAGGGAAGTTCATAAATGAAAAATAGAATGGTGTGGTACCTCTTTTTTGAGAGATCTCAAGTAACATCTGGCACAACTCACCCTTTAAAATATCATTACTGTTAATTTGTTTATGAAAGACTTAGGAGGCTGGAACAAAAAGGGAAAGTGATGAAAAATAATACCACTGAAAAGCATCTTCTCCTCTTGCTGGTAAAAAGATTTCAGAACAGGTGTTTTTGGCCTGTTACTGCTGCCATCAGCCAATATCAAAAGCAGTTGGCAATGCTCTCATCATGCAAGAATTCCAATCAGATAACTCAGTATATTCTAATTACTGTAGTAACACCTGTTGTAGTCCTAAATGACTAACTTATCACAGCAGACAGGCCTGCCTTCTCTTTAGGTTTCACTGACTCTTAAATTTCTGCTTCCTCTAATTGCATGTCTAGCTTACCAAACAAATGTTGTAGTCCACATTTATTCTTTGCCACTTCATGCTTTAATCCTCTGTACATTAATGGTTTGCTGCCATCTCTCACCTACACTCTCTATTTTGTCTATGCCACTTCACTCCAAGATAGCAAACCATCTTTTCTATTTACATTAGCGCTTGATTCATCCAAATGCTGACTTCTTAGGCTGGTTATACCAGTGATATCCATATATAGGTACTTATTGGGTGCTACCACAAAATTGTCACTTCTAAAAACCTGTTTCTTTGCCATTGAGCCCCATATAAAATACAAGGGTTTTTTTTCCACAGAAAACAGTTCTTCTATCATTCCATTTACACCTATCAAAAGCAGCTGCTAATCGCTTTCCAAAGTTGTTGCCAAGCACAAATGGTGGCACTGAATTGACTCATGTTGCTTCACTCAGAGATAAAACATGCATAACTTTTTTCCTGATCTGGACCAGTTCAAATAATTTGGAGAGAAATCAAAAATGCTGGTTTGATTTCAGCAGATATAGGATCATATTCCTGAAATGTATGCTGTTACTTTTGTATGCATACTTTGCTGTGTATAGTGACAATTAATACACAACAAGGTATGCATAAATGCAGACTACGTACTGCTTTTGCAAGCACAGTGGTCAAGTAAATTAATGAATTTAAGAAACTACAAAATGTGGGAGTATATTTCTGCGGTTTTCCTTTTGCAAGTGCCATGTGAATTTTACTTCGAGTATTTAAATCTTTTGCTGATCATGTCGTGGATTAATCCCCACATTGCTATAGTCATTGCAGAACTGCTCTCTGCAACAGTACCTAACAACATACATATCCTTTTCACACCGTGACACTGAAATCTAGAAACTGTTTCTCTTGCATGATCTTGATGGAAATCTAATACTCTGGTAGACACTGTAAGCTTTAGTTAATCATCTCAGTTTCGTGAATTTAGCCATGCACACTGATTTTCATAAGAACAAAACAGCTGAATTCTGTTAGTATGAAACTTCTCTCACTTGACAGTTACCACACGGATGCTATGATATTATGGGAAATCCAGAACTTCAGTTGTGCATTTGGAAAATATGTAAAATATCAATAATCTGAGTGCAGCAGGATCACAGATTTTTCCTTCTGTATAAATAGCATACTTCCAGAGCACAAAGCCTGTAGTTGCAAATTCCAGTAACTTAAACATGAGACTGACTATAAGAAAACATAAAAAACTTATCTCACTAAATTGAACTGCCTTATTAGACTCATCAGAAAAAATACATTTTAGCTCCCACTTAGATATCCTTCCTTGTTATTTGAGATAAAAGTAAACTTTGAGCCATAATGAATGATCACTTCCAAAGGAGAGGAACTTAAGTTTTGGACCACTGGGGAGATGGGGAGAACCCTAATTGTTTAATGATATTTTACAGTTAGAAGATTGTATCCCTTTTGTCTCGTAATTTCTCTAAACAAACTGTGCTGTCATGTATATTTTAAATACTTTCTGCTTATGATATCCATCTACATTTTTGAGTGAGGTCTCTTTGTATGAATGCTTTTCTATCTGTCCACCTACCCTCTTTCACCTAATGTTGACTTAACACTTTGCATATTCTTTAAAACACATATTGTTAAGATGCAGCTGAATCACTAAGTTTAAGTTTGAGTCTGCTTGATCAGCAAAATATCTGTGCTGATCATGACTCAAGTTGTTATTTTAGTTTGGATTGTTACAATTTGTCACCAATATCAATTGTCAGGAGGGCCAAACAGTTTTATTTCTAGATGTGAAAAATGCCACGACTACAACTAAAGTGGGGGACTAAAACTGCCTTTCAGCCAGCCGTGCTCGCCACTCCCTCTGGAAATTGCACCCAGGGCATGATGCTCTGAGTTGCTCCTGGCCAGACAACCTTGGATTGATCTGGGTGGGGAGACATTTGTTAGGACAAATGCTAAGTACCAAGTAGAATTTTGAATCAATCCTCTGCCAATTAAGCATAAGATTAAATCACATAAAAAGAGTGAGATCAAACATACTACAGTTTGGAAGAAAGGCTGTTTTCCATAGCAAAAGACTACACTTCTATCTATTGTCAACTTTCTTTTTGGAGGTCCAGAATGAATTTAATAGAGCATACCTAAGCTTTCAAAGTAAAGAATTCAGAGGAGGTTTTTTATAGATCCATGCACAAAAGTACAATTGCTCCCCTGGAGCAGATTTATTTATTTATTTATTAATCTGGAGATTTAAAAGATTACCTGCTCTTTAAATCAATCCAGGCTGGTTTCTCTTCTCTTTCTCTTTCCTTCTCTTCTCTTGCTCGTTTTGACATTGCCTCTGAATTGAACACTGGACTCTGGTGATGATCAGCATGGAGTTGTGATCACAGCTATTGTGATACCAGAGGTGGAATTCCTGCTGAAAGAATGGCCACAGCGGCTACACACAATGATCCAAAACATTTTCACATGCACATACAACACACAGTAGCCTAGGATAAGAAAAGACCTCATTAGTCACATAAAGAAATTATGTTTTTAAAATCACCATGTAACAGAATAGGCCAGCTGTTTAAATGATTGGATTCTACAAGGGAAAAATAAGGGCATCTCCTTTGCATACAAGCACTTTCTATTCACAGTCCTAGCATTACATTTTTTTTTTTTTCTTGTGGTTTGCCTATTTATACAGCTGATACATTTTTCCCTCTATGTTTATTTTAAGGTGACTGTGTTTTACACGTGCCACAGCTTTTACGTGATTGTATAATTTTTTTTTTTTTTCCCCTAATCTATTTTGTTACCAATGTGGATAAAATTAATAGAGAATGGTAACTTATTTAATAAACTTTATTAAGCCTTTGAGGAAACTTCAATGTACTCATAAAGAGAGGCAATACAGAATGTATTCACTCTATCATGACAAAGAAATTACAATTCTAAGCTAGAAATAAATGACATTCTAGAAAAAGCAGAAGGAACAACATATAAGGAGTTAATAATGAACAACTTGTCTTCATTTTCAGACCCTTTAATCCTGCTATTGTGCAGTTTTCACACAGCGCTAAATTGAATTACTGCATCATTTTTTACAATTTCTTCGTACAGTTGACCCAGTTTATAGCAGGTTTGAAAGCATTATCATTGCTTAAGGTTCAAAGATGCTGCCGTGTATTGCATTACAAGTCAATCTCTGCGGAAGTATTTTGATGTGATTTTGCTTTCGGATATAGAAGAGCAGATATCCAAGTGAAAGATGGTATTTCATTTTATCATAACAATGTCGCATAATGCTTTTTTATTCAATATGTATAGTCTCATTTTCATTGTATTTTTTTCTCTAACTTTCTTGGTCTAATAAAGTGAATCCCCAATTTATGTCTCCCAATGATTTTATGTAAAAAGAACATTGAAGAGAGTCCTAACATAGCTTTTTACTGCTGTGCAGCAGATATATTTAGTTGACACTACTAAAACAACTAAAAGGGAATGCATTGTTTCTAGACATTGCATTACTTCCAAAATGCTCCAATTGAGAAATTCTTTATCTGAAGTTTTCTTGTTCTACTGTGCAGTGCTTTCTACGGCTTCTTTTTAGCACACAATGCTCAATTTAACTGTGTTTGAGGCAGTGTGTTTTACGTAAAGCATTTCATTTTCTCAAGGTCATTCTTTATGCTTCAGGTGTTAATTTGTGTTGTTCTTGAAGTATTCTTATTATTGATAGTAGAGTCCTTGGTATATTTTATATTGAAGTATTGCTAATGTATGAACTGTAACATTAAATTTTTAATCTAATCAATCAAATGCCATGCATATGCAATAGATGCTTGGCTTTTACTAAGATTAATTACCATGTGCTGTGAAAACCAACTCTGTAAGGTGAACTATTGCATGCATACAGACACACACAATGAAATGAAAAGAAAGCAAATTGTGCAAAAGGATGAGCACTGTAATAAGTTAATGACTACTTCTGTCATTCAAAACATATGCATAGCCTTTAAGACAACACAAAACAAAGATTAAACTCATGTTAAATCAACTATCTATTAAAGCATTTAGAGCTCTTTTCCAGATTCTTCATGAAAATTATGCAATCTGTTGCAAAACTAAACACTTGTCTCCCAGATGGTGCTCAGAGTCTGTCTGAACAAACACTCCTTCCATGCTCTGCGTAACAAATTGTGCATATTTTTGTTCAGTGTGCTTCATTTTATTCATTTGAGGACTTTTACACTGCACATGCTATGTAGAGATTACTAAATTTGCATTGTAAAATCCAGTTATGTTGTATTTATTTACCTGATTACAGTTCAAAAGTGGAAGATACTTCATCATGGAAAATGGCAGCATCTCCTTTATTATAGGCTGGAAGATTCAAATTGACAATGTTTACTGCATATATTGATCTTGGTTGTAATTCTCACAGGTCACTGATAGTCATCAACTAAAAAATAAGCAGCTAATTGCTTCTTTTGAACAGTATTGCAAATTTAAGCTTCTGCAATGGTGTTTTGAAGGAGGGTTTTACTATGCCAAATAGCAGTTATGATTGCAATGGGAATAAGATTAAGACTGCACTTAATACTTTTATAATTTTATTAGGAAGTACATTTACTGATGGACTTCATGACCTTGAGGGTCTTTTCCAAACTAAATGATTCTGTGATTATTCATGCACTAGACTGTGTACACTTCTGGCTGGGACTTTGGTCCAGCTAGAAACAGAAGAAAAACTACTAAACTATGAGAAGTCTCATCTGCAACTGATGAGGCTTCAATTCAGTTTTTAATTCTTGCCACCTTTTAAAATATTTTCTCTGACCAGTTTTCTGCCTGAAAAACGTGAGTTGCTTGTCAAGTGAAGATGGATACACTGCTGTTACTGAATCACTTAAATATGTGGAATGGGTATAAATTAAAAGACATTCCTTTTGTGAAGAAGCCCTTTCTGAGAACCATTTTGTAACTTGCCTTCACAATGATAAGGGAAAAAGCCAGTGTGCCAGACAGTAATACCTGTATGATGTGTTGGAGCAGAGTCACCTGAAAACGTAGATCAGAGCTTTGTGAAGTCAGATCTGAGCACTGTCAAGTATAATTATTCTACAACATCTCTTGAAAATCTGGTCCAGTGTCTTAACCACCTGTATTATGGAAAAATGTTCCCTGAATCTATGGGCTTTCTTTTAGTACAATTGCTGTCTGTTGTTTCTTGCTGTTTTGCTGTAAAATATTACAGGAATCTGAACATAAATCTCTATAGCTCCCCTTTAGGTTTTTAAGAATATTATGAATCATTCTTTTGTTTCTTTATGTACCTGGAAGGAGTCCTTGCTAGGGACTGAATTGAGGCTTTACAGCCAGCAGTTACTCAGACCCTCCTCATCTGTTTTAAAATAGGCATAATATTTGCCTTTTCTAGTCCCCAACTGTCATGACTTTTCAAAGATGATGGCATCCTTCCAGTGGCATCAGGTAGTTCTGTCAGCATCTTTGGGTGCATCTCATTTAGCAACATGGACTTGGAGACATTTAAAACTGGTGGACGAGACCCTGAGCAGCCTGCTGTGGTTGATCTGACCTTAAGCAGGGAGAGGGAGGCCAGACCAGATCTCCAGAGGCCCCCCTCAACATCAGCTTGTCTCTGACTCTGTATATGTCCAGTGGATTTAAGTAGTCTCTAACTGTCTAGTAAATCTACACTGCATTTGTATATTTTGCATTACAAAGCAGGTTGTCCAGTTCTCTGAGTAGAGCAGTCTAACACTTCATAATCTGTGCAATATGATATGCCTATTTTAAATTTATGAAGCTGTAAACCAATTTCCTGTACTAATAAACACCTCATTTTTTTCATTCCCAGTTATCCTCTTAAATTCACTGCACTGCCTCACTCTTTTTCTCTTGTCCTTGTCTTGTAAGAAAGAAATAGGTGTGAGGGAGACAAAAAATAAAAGACAAGAAACGGCAGCTCACAGAAATAAATGATACTTGGGGAGAATCCAAGATCAACAGACCAGCGAGCCCACTCATTGTTCTTTATCATTTTGGCTCTCTTCCAGCCTCTCTAGGTTTCTGTCTCTTCCAAACTGCTTTCTGCATTCTCACATATGTTATAGAAAGTATTATGATTTCAGAGAAGTGCTTTAATTTTTAACAGCTTGCCCTGCAAAGGAAGTGGTCCAGTTTTTGAGGGAGAAGAGGAGGGGAGCTTGTTGCTCTGTTTTTCCTTAACGTATGTGTGCAATCTCGATTATTCTTAACAGAAGATCCATATATGTATGGTATTATTGGAGGAGAAATTGACTCCTTTTGCATATAATTACTGGGCATAGTTATCTGTAAAACTGTTTGGTCTTGGATTGATCTAGCAGTACAATAAATATTTCAAATCCAGCACATCAAGCCTGCTCCCATTTTTTTTGCAGTGAGAAACTCAATAGTTTAGTTTTGCATTTTGTCACAAAAATGCTCAGTTTTTCTAATGTAGCAAAAAAGGTAGAGTAGTGGTATGAAAAGACAATGATATGAATGACTTTATCTGTATTTTTAATAGATCCCTTCCAAATGTAATAAATTTTGAAAATTACTGATAGAATCTACATAGTTAGTAGAATACCTCAGCCCTTCTGATCTGTCAGGCTACAGGCTGGAAACAAGTTTATAACTTAACAGCTTAGGCATAAAAGCTCAATTCATGTAATCATTACTGGAGTAATTCTCCAGGTTTAAAACCCAAAGGCCCAATGCTACCTTTGACACTGCAGCTATCCCAACACCTACCCTTATGCACAGCACTGCTTGCCATGTATCCAGTAGAAACAAAGAGCTCCGAAGCTTGGCAAGACTTCCTTTTGTGCCACTAGATGTGGCCTGGATGTAAAAGACTTTTTTGGGGTGAGACTAACTGCAGTTGTAGACTGATTGCAACTACTCAGGTCCACTATTCAAGCTGGAGTAATAGAGATATCACTGGAACTGGATTTTCAAGACTATTTTTTTTGCATCTTTCATAGTTAAACTAAAGCAAATTGACCACCCAAATAACAGCTGCATAGTCCAAGAGATCCTAAGGATGGATGGAAATGTGTATGTTCAAAAACATTTGAAAAATCTGAGTTCCCAAAATTTTCTATATACATTACTTCAAATTATTAAACATGCTTTTATTCTCATTGATTCATTGTTTAAACATGTACATGACACTGTGGTTACTGTTAAATGTCTCACAAGACATGCATCTCATACAATCACAGAATAATAGGGTTAGAAAAGATCTCCAGAGATTGTCTAGTCACTAACCCCCTGCTAATGCTGGTTCCCAACAGCATGTTGCATTGGAAAGTAATCAGGCAGGTCTTGAATATCTCCAGAGATGGACTTTCTCAAGAAGTTTCCTGTATTTCTATAACTGGGGAGCCCATTACTTGACACAGTACTCCAGATATGGCCTCATCAGGACAGAGTAGAGGTGGAAAAGAACCTCCCTTGTCCTGCTGGCCAGCCATGCTCCTTTTAAAAACCTCTCCAAGTGAAGAGGGAGGAGGGACAACCCTGATTCTGGGCTGCAAATGCAGTACAGTATTTCAGGGGCTATGAATGGGGAAGAAAAATGTTCAAACAGACTCTGAGCCAGGCTGACTCAGACCAGCGACAAGTAGAGACAAACCAGCTCAGCTGAGCATATCACTACAACAGGTAACTAAATAAATAATGTTTAAAGCTCCTGTATATCC